GCAACTTGTCCGAACCTCGTTCTAAATTGGGATTTGACACTATACAGAAAAGAAGTCGTACGAAGTACACCCTTCTTCATGTTTTAGAAGACTCAGAGAGGAGATGAGTTTCGGCACAGTTTATATACAATTCACAAAATATCAAAGCGGTAAAAGCAGTTAGTTAGCACATTATGCACAGATCATGTAACAAAATCAGATAAAACCAAATATAACAATTTATCTAAGCTCGAATTTCTAACCCTGAACCAGTGGTTCTGGGTTATTAGATCCCCAGCAGAGTCGCCAGAGCTGTCACCCTCCTTTTTCCGTCCCCGCAAGGGGTGAAGGAGTTTTTCCAATTAAAGGACAATCGAAATGAGATTTATTTATTTATTTATTCAGAGTCGCCACTTGGGAGATTTAGGGTGTCCCAAGTCACCAATTTAATCCCGTGTCGAGGAAAAGAATGACTCTGTATTACAGTTTGCGAACCAGAAATCCGGATAAGGAATTCTCTTAACCCGGGAGAAGGTGTTAGGCATTTTCGAGTTCCGTGGTTCTAGCACGGTCGCTCAACTGTCATATTCGGCTTGTTTATCTGATTTTATACAATTTATGAGCTCATGTGCAAATTTTAACTCTTTACCGCTTTTATTATTATATTTTGAATGTGAACATCGTTTAAAAACATGTCTTTGGATTGCGTCACATGAAATGCACCCGCGATCCGGAACGCATTTTTATTCAATGTTTTGGGATTTGGATTTGGGTCGCATGAAATGCACACCCGAGTTTAAGAAGGTAAGATTATTAAAATGCGCGCCTAAAGCAATTAGCGTATTATTATTTCTGGGTAAGGTCGTGGAATTTTACTAAACGGCTCATCCTGAAATCTAAGTAATTTTAATTAAACATTTATCGAGGGCCCCGCAATTTGTGTGTTTTATTGGGCTCTTCTCTTCTCATTTATTTTAAAAGGATAATCCTAAAATGCCTACATTTTTTTTTAATTAAAATTGTCTCTACAAAATGAAAGAGAAAAGGTCTTAATTTATTTACATGCTTGAGTTGTTATAGTTGGGTTTCGAATATGATTCATAAATTCTGAAAATGATGCAAGCAGGGCAGTCCGTTGCCAATGCGGGCCCAGGCCCAACGTGTATGGCATAAAACTAGACCTGGGCCATCTTATTCACATGTTACTACCTAGTTACATTATACTAGGCATTTTCACAGTTTGTCAAATTAAAAAAAAAACTTAGCAATCTAATTTTAGTCCTAGACCATTTACATGCTGAAATTAACCAATAGTATTTAACTAAACAATATTCCTACAAGTTCTGAAATGGTCTATTCGTTTGATGAACTAACGTGCTTTTTGAAACATGGTAATCATCCAACAATAACAAATTAACTGGACGGAGTTATTACACCATTTACTTATTTTTTAGGAAATATATAGATAGTTCGTCCGTTAAGCTATCGTCAGATGTTCCACTATATATTTTAAACAGCTACATGATTCTGATTAGAGTAAGCTAAATAATTTATATATACAAATAAAATTCAGAATATAATTAAAATAAATTCAGAACTTCAACTCTTCATTTTCGTATTCATGCTTCATGTTTCAGTTTACAGTAACCAGCGTGTCAGTTGTGTACCTGATATTGGAAGCAAAAGAAAAGGGAGATCAGCAGAAATTCAATAGCATACAACAATAGCGACACCCAGTAACCAGCAACAACCAGCAATGAGAAACTAGTGACGGATTTTAAAACTCAAGATAAAAATCCAGAAACACCAACAACAATCAACGGATCGAAGCAAAGGGAATTTTTTCAGATTTGAAAGACTAGTTAATGCTTAACCCTTAATTTCTGAATCCGTATATCAGAATATTTAGATTGTATATCAGGTGTATACTACTCACTCTTTTAATTTCCAGAATGTTTTTATTTGTATTTGTTGGAAGTTTTAATATTTTTGAAAATTCTCTCTTCAATATTTAGCTCTCTTTTTCTCTATCTTCTCTCTGTCCCTTTTTTCTAAATCTGTCCAAGTCTCTCTATTTATCCTCCATCCCAAACCTTTTAATCAATTAATCAAATAATAAAACAACCACTTTATCTTACCAAACCCACTACTACATAAAAATACAATTATTATTTATTTAAACAACTTTTCTTGAGCCCCGCAATCCCACTATGTCTTGTTCCCCATTTTTGATTAAACAAGAACATTATTCCCCACCATTATGTATTGTCCCCCATTATTGATTATTTTAATATTATTTTAATCTTAATGGACAGAGCACTCAAAATAAACAATTGTTCAGAATTTTAATTCCAAAAATACCCCTCTGACCTTACTGAAATTACCATTTTGACCCTGAAAACACTGTAATTTACCAATCTACCCCGTCAGCTATAACAAGTTCAACTAATCAATTCTAACCAAAATATAGCAGCTATAACCAATTCCTAATCAAATTTTATGAACAAACTCAAACTATATGATGAACAACCAAGAAACAACTGGAATTATTTTGATTGAACAATCTTTTTAAACAACAAATCTATTTTCAGATTCACCAATAATAACAAACAAATATATTCAAAGCATGAGCTCAAATTCAAATCAAGCTTAAACAAAAATAAATAAACAGATTCAAATCACTAAACTCAAATAATCAATTGATCTTCAAATTAAATCCAACAAAATACAACAAAGATACATGATTCAAACTAAATCAAAAAATTAAAAACCAAACATAAACTCACATTAAATCACTGAATTAAAAACGAACTTCAAACAAAATGAACACGAATTAAATCTATATTAAACAACAAACATGACGGATTCAAAATGATTTAAACTAACACTTTCTATATTAAAACTAAATCCTTTTAAATTAATAAAACAAACTGAAGAAATAATTAATTGAACTTCAACTTAAATTTAAAAACATTATAATTAAACTAACAATTTCTATCTAAAAATAAATAAGAAAAATGAAACAACTGAATAAAAATCAATAACAAGAATCAAACATTTAATGATTTTAGATCCGAAAAATATCAAACAAATTACGAACGGGAACGAAACTTAAACCAACTAACCGGATCGGAACTATGATGAACTCGAACGAAAAAAAATCTGCTCGGAAACAAATATCGCACCAAAATAACTCGACGACGAAGACGATCCGAATAAGAAGCAACTGAAGAAGGAAGTTGCGGACAACAACAATGACGGAGTTTGGTTTTTAAGTCCAGATGCTCGGCGAGGCAACAGTAATGGTGAAGAAAAAAAACGCGGCAGCAACAGTCCAATGGCGAAGACGCAGCCATGGCAGCAACGACATGAAGGAGAAGATGCAGCAACGATGAAGGCAGTAGCAGTTGCTACTGCTGAGCATGCTCGACGTGAGGGCTGCCATGGATGGTGGTTNCTTCTTCTTGTTTGTTCTCTTTTCTTTTACTTATTAATGAAACTAAAAATGCTAAAATTATAAAAACCAAAATTATCTTAAAATACTAATTAACCCCCTAATAATAATTATCACCCAAAATTAAACATTAATACAAATAAAATCACACAATTTGGACATTAAAATGCTAGAAATGCAAAAGATGCCTATTTTTGTAATTTTCATTCTGGTAAAACAAACTTAATTATTCCTAATTGTAGAATTAAATCCTAAATGCAAATGCGACATATTTTTGTATTTTTTTNATGCGACGTATTTTATATTTTTATGAATTTAAACAAATAAACATGTACAGACAAAAATACAAATAATTATACAAAAAATACCACAAAAATACAAAAATTGCACATAAACGAAAAATTATTTTATTTTGAATTTTTTGGGATTAATTCTTTTATAGGGCAAAAATCACGTGCTTACACTTACAAAAATGCCCTCCATATTCTCTAGCTTTAAGGGACTTTAAGGACAATTTTGTCTTTAACCATGCTAATGCATGCATTAAAACCTTGGTATTACTAATGCCATGGTTTTCTATGCATTACTTATGCATAGGATAATGCCAAATATAATGTACCAAACAAAGTATTAGTAATACATAGAGCTAATGCTTGCATTATTTTTTCTAATACTCCTGCCAAACGACCCCTTACATCATTACATGTTCCGGTCAGGTCATGAATCTGGTACTACTCAATTCCCCATCCCTATCAGGTAACTAACAGCAAGCAGCATTCTCACCGTTTCTTCCGGTCACCCGTCTTCCTTTTCTTTTTTCCTAGATCTCTCTCTCGCGCTATATATTCAAACCATTCTCAACTTCACATAATTTCTTCTTCTATTTTGCTTTTACAGTTAATTAATACAATCCTCTAAACATCGGCGACGGCAAAATGACATCGACGGCGGGTGAATTCTCGAAGCTTAACATTAATGGCGATTGGGCTTCCTCTGCTCCAAATCTCCAGAAAAACCTCTCTCTTCTCTCCCCTGAACAGGTTCTTATATATTTTTGTTAAAAAAGATTACTGCCTGATTATCACTGCGAATTAACACATTGTAGACAGGCTAATTTACGGTTTTTTTCTTGTCAGTGTGTAAAAAGTTAAACTTGTTTGTGTAGTTGAATGATATTGATTTTCGTGTGCGGAGTTGAATTGAGATTGATGTGTGTGTGGTGATATTAGGTAGAGTTAGCGAAGATGTTGTTAGAGAAGGAGCAAAGCCACTTGTTTCAGCACTGGTCGGAGCCCGGAGTTAATGATGATGAGAAGCGTGCCTTTTTTGATCAGGTATGTTCAGCTTTTTTTATTTTTTAATAATTGTTTTTCCGGATATATTTGTTTGTTTTAAATAAACTCGATTTTGATGTCACCATGTATAACTTATGCATATTTAAGCTGGCTTAGACTATGATCAAGTTTTAGTTTTGAAGTGTTTTTTTCCTTTAAAGCTCCATTCTTGACTTTCACTTTCATATTGTTGAATATGAAATGTCATCCACAAAGAAAGAAATCGTAATAAGGGATTTCATCCTCAGTAATTTGAGTGGGAATATAAATACTGAAGAACCAATAAACGCCAAAGTGGAGTCTATGGTTAGTGGTCAGTATCACTGGTGGATTTCAGATTACAGGCAACATGTAAACCAAGCTTCTTTTTCGCCAAAAGTGCTTTTTTGGAGCCGAAAGTGCCTTTTATTTTCCTTCCTAAAGTTAAGGTGTTTGACCAACTTTTAGAAGGGGAAAAATGCTTTTGAGTAGAAGCACACACAATTTTTGATAAGCAGAAAAAAGTAGCATTCTTTCCAAAAACACTTTGAGAAAAATACACTTAAAAACACTTTAAAGAAAAGCACTTCTCAAAATAAGCTGATTTTATAAGCTTGGCCAAACATGCTATTAAACAGACTAGTCGATTTTGGCGTACATGCAACATGTAAATCAAAGGTGAAAAAAGAACAAGCTAATCCTCTCCCGACCATCCTATTAGCACCTTCAATATAGCTTTGTTCAAAAGAATGCTTACTGAGAATAGTGAATGCTCAAACCAATTCCCTGATCAATGATCTCCACTCCCTCCGGTTAAGACCAGGGGATAAATAGATTAAGACGACAGCGAGGAAAAATGAAACATATTGAACCACACTGAATCTATAAATGGGGTTAACGGAATGTACGCTCTTTATACTAGAATTTTCTGACCAATGAATACTGCACAGAGCTTTGGCTTCAAGATTCCGGAGTCATCAACTTATATGTAATTTACTTTTATACAGTAAAAAAATATATCTGAGAAGTCGACTCATATGTAATTGGATAGCTTCTGCATGTCAACCTTGGCACCTAACACAGAGAAAATTCTTTTGTCCAGTTGTGCGGTGTCTCTACTATTAATAAGGGAAATGCACCTTGGCTGTCTTTGCAGCGCCCTGCATTTCTCCCCACAACATAGCTTCATCAGGACAAGCGCCAGAATCACTCCCCATCAAACTCTTGTTTTTTGATGTACACATCAAAATCTGCACCATTGCATATCATATTGGCATCACAATCATGGTGCTTAGGCAACCCTCCACTTAGGATAATAATAATAATAATAATAATAATAATAATAATAATAATAATAATAATAATAATAATAATAATAATAATAATTCTGGTCTTCCTGGAACCAACACGGACGACTTCACTATTTATGGCCCTGATGTCTCCTATGATGTCAATGACTAGACCAGGATTGGGATGTGGCGGTCTGGATTTTCCTTTTAGAAAGAATGGAAGTATAGCATGTCACACGGTGAACCACTGGTCAAGCCTGGAAAGAAGACAGGCTATGAATTGTGTTTCTTTCTTTTGAACAATTCAAGCTGACCAACTAGCTTTCAATTGCAACTGAATTTTAACAATGCAAGCAATTTGAACTCCTATTACCAGTTTTGGTTACTTACATGCTGAAATTCGGGATGTGATAAGGTTGTAGTTTGCAGTTTGCAAAATTTAAAACTTGATCTTGTTTCTGTTTTGCAGTTTAAAGCTTATATGACAATTTATATGAAGCATTTGCTCGTGCTTAATTACTCAAATGATACAGTAGCCAAAATTTGAAGTTTGTTGTCATTCTTGAATATTTTACAGCTGGTGGCTGTGGCAATCTTGTAATGCCAGAAATGTTATCATTTTCCTGTTGGGCTTGTTTCCAATGTCTTCTACGCTTGTATTCACTTCTTACTTTGATTGTAATAATTATGAACTTAAGTGTTATTATTATGGTTTCTTTCAGATTGCCAAACTTAATTCAAGTTATCCTGGGGGTTTGGTAGCATATGTTAACACTGCTAGGGAGCTTTTAGCTGATTCAAAGGCTGGAAAAAACCCGTATGATGGTTTTACACCTTCCGTAAGTCACTGAATCCTGTGTTACTGCTTTAGCAAAACTTATTTTGCTAGTTTTCTCTCTATAGAAGGTAACTACTTTTTTCATCAAGCAGCACACAGTAACTCAACTTGTGGTTTTTTCTGATTTATTGGATTCAGTGCATGTCTTAAAGTTTCGATTTGGTTCATATATTTCGTTTTATGTCTGTCAGAAATTAGTGAAGGTGCTGCTTATAAAAGAAAAAGTCTATATTTCACAAATCTGGTGAATATTGTTTATGCAGCTACTTTTCTCCTGGTACTATGCAGCTACAATAATTTATTGTTTAAACGGAGTGTTGAGAAAAGGGTGCCACTTAAAATACTTCTAAGCTACAACTGCGGTAGATAGTAGTGGTGTATGTTGCATTAGTAGAAGATCTTAAAAATACCTTATTAGCTTTGGTTAGGTTTTCATGCCTACTGGTCGGCATATTGAAATGCGAAGTTTAGCATGTTTTTGGCTATTTTTAGGTGCTTCAAGCCTTTGCTAAAGGTCAAAGTAATGAGTTTATGTTTTTTCATCCCAAACTGATCATTTATTTTTCCTTCACAGGATATTATGATAGTCTCCAAATTCATACCGGATTCTTTTTATTGAGAAATTATTCTTTGCTGTCAATAGTCTTTCATGGGATTTGTCACACTTCTTTTTCTTGTGAAAAATGATATCTGATGCTTTATGTTGTCAGATTTGATTATATTTCCTTGCTCACTCCTCTTACCTTGAAAAATTCGGAAAATAATTGATCACCTTACTAATACTTATGTAACAAGCACTTAAAACTTAGATAATATACTGATATCTGCTCTAGATTAATGATGCATTCAAAAATGTAAGTGAACTTGTGCAGGTTCCATCTGGGGAGGTTCTGACATATGGTGATGATAACTTTGTTCAATTTGAGGAAGCTGGCGTCAAAGAAGCACGGAAGGCTGCATTTGTTCTTGTTGCTGGAGGCCTCGGAGAACGTCTTGGGTACAACGGAATAAAGGTAGAACACGTAAAAATTTCATGGAGCATCATTTAACCCTCACAAGATACACTTCTGCTGTTCAAACAATTCTTTTGGTTGGTTGGTCTAAAACTTGTTCTGATTTTTGTCTTCATGGGTTAAAATATGCAGAATCTTTTGCAACTTGATTAATAGTTGTATTCTGTCATTTCACCATGCAACTAATAATCTAATGTCTGGCTGCATAAGATCTAGTTCGGTGACAATTCCTTCTAATTACTTGCAGGTGGCCCTTCCTAGAGAAACAACTACAGGGACATGCTTCTTACAGCATTACATTGAAACTATTCTTGCTTTACAAGAAGCTAGTTGCAGCCTTGCCGAAGGTTGGTAATAGTGCATGTTATGATTTTGTAAATATTCTGTCAGGGACGAAATTACAGTTAAACTGCTTCTTGTTCAGTCCCAATTTTTCATCGCACCGTTAGCATAGTAAACCAACAAATTATAGAAGTTGGCAATTTGGTGTAACCCAAGCTCTGGAAGGTACCTCTTCCTGGACTGTTATGTTAGGACTCAATTTTAAGGAGGTTGGGAGGGGTTGTTGTGCTAGGGGATCCAGTCGCAAGCTTAAGATTCATGAAGCTGCTTCCAAGATTTGTTGACCAGTGATTCTATTTGTGGAGTTGCCAAAATTTTCATTCTTTATAAACCTTTTAGAAAGTTCAGAAAACAATTTAAACCTTATATTCTGTGCACAAAGTTGTTGGATAGCGACGGTACATTAGACGACCCTAACTGGCTTGGGATTGAGGCGTAATAGTAGTAGTAGTAGTAGTAGAAGCAAAAGAAATGTTCCGTATGGATAAAAACGGTGTTAAGAATTCTCTTCCTTGGTGTAGCAAACAATACATACAAGCTAAAAAGGATTGGCTAAAAAGAATATCTTTATGCATAGAGATACCTGCTAACATATTACGTTTCGGCCACCTAAAAGTATGATGCATATCCTTAATACAATAGACATGTAGAAACATGTAGGAGCTTCCTGGCAACTAACAGCTTCCTTGTGATTAGGCAACTGCCAACCGGAGATTCCTTTGGCTATTATGACGTCAGATGACACACATTTACGTACCATGGAGCTCTTAGGAAAAAACTCCTTTTTTGGGATGAAACCCACACAAGTGAAACTGCTTAAGCAGGTGAGCCACTGATCTGAAGAAGCCTATGAAGAATTAAGTCATAGTATCAAAACTCATATATCTCTTGATCTTTTTGCAGGAAAAAGTTGCTTGTTTAGATGATAATGAAGCACACCTTGCTCTGGACCCCCATAATAAATATAGAATTCAGGTGGATAATTGTATGCTGAATACTCTTCCTATATTTAAAGATATGAATATTCTTTTATTCAATTGATGTCATTAACTTTTTTTGCTGAAAGTGCCTGAGTTTTGCCTATGCCTCTGCTTTATCAGACAAAACCTCATGGCCATGGAGACGTCCACTCACTTCTTTACTCAAGTGGTCTTCTTAAAGTTTGGTATGTTCTCCCCCATTTTCGTTTAAACCTTTGCTTTCTTTCTGCTATTCTCATACACTTTAATGTGATTTTGGATGAACCAATGAACTAACCCCTTTTAGACTATATAAAAGTAATCAGTTAGAGAAAGATAGATGAAGGGGAGCCTTGGAGTAACAATAAAGTTGTCTCCGTGTGGCCTATAGGTCACTGGTTCGAGCCGTGGAAGCAGCCACTACTTGTATTAGGTTAAGCTGTCTACATCACACCCTTTGTGGTGCGACCCTTCCCAGGACCCTGCGTGAATGCGAGATGCTTTGTCCACCGGGCTGCCCAATTAGAGAAAGATGGATACTTTTTTCTTTTGTAATTTCTTGTCTCAGTCCATTGCTTTTTAACTTCAACTATAATCTTTAACAATGATCTTTATTTTTCTGGACCCTACCTTATACAGTGTATCCATCTTTGAAGTGAAGAAATGGAATTCATATTTTCAAGCCTTTTTTCCTTCGTGTTCTGGAAATAAAAGCTGATGTAAAACCTTTTAATTATAGCCTGTATCTCGTCACTATTGCACCCAGTTTGTATTGATTTTTTAAGAGGTGCATGTTTCACTTAAAAAGAGAAAGAGAGTTAACATATTTCTGTGATTGATGGTCCAAATTCTGTGCAATCTAGGCATGATGCAGGCTTAAGATGGGTTCTTTTTTTCCAAGACACCAATGGTCTACTTTTCAAGGTTAGTTGGATGCCTTCTCTTTTTTGTTTCTTTTTGTTTTTGAATTGTTTCATATTCTACTCATGCATGTTAGGCCAATTTTATCAATCTGTACGTTTCATTATCTTCCAGGCAATTCCAGCAGCGCTAGGTGTCAGCGCGATAAAACAATACCATGTCAATTCTCTTGCTGTTCCTCGGAAAGCGAAAGAAGCCATTGGTGGCATTACCAAGCTTACTCATAAAGATGGTACGTAGATGAGTAACTTACATCTAGCTTTGTATCTTGTAGTGGCCAGGGAAAAAGTAGTAATAAATGTTGAAAGAAAGAAAGCATGGGTTGTGATATGAGTTTCTTTGTTGTTCAGTAGTTGTTTATAACTGCTAAATTTTAGTGGCAGAAAATATTTCATCTAAAGAGTGTTATAAGCTGTGGGCAGTTCCTGCTTTCATAAACTGAATTCGCAATGTTGGTGGCTTAATCTTTAGCCAAAATTTTAACAGGTCTCGAAAGTACTAGGATACTATCTGTCCGATCAGTTGATGATGATCCTATTAGTTGGTTGTCTATGAACTTCCAACAGCACTTAAGCTGGTCTTTTTAAAAGGCAACTTGAGACGAGGAATAGCAGGATCTGTTTCATGCCTGATTTCCTCTGTACCTGATGCTCCATACAGGGCATGAGTGGGAGAACATATACATACTTTAGATGTGCTATAATTGAGCAAACATTGATTATAGAGATTCTTCAAAAACATTGGACCTCTCAAAGGTATGTAACAAGGAGAAGATGAGAGAACTCTTAGTTATTTAAGATAAAATAGCCCTGAGAAATTTGTGGACTACGTGTCAGAAGAAAGATTCCTGGTTGCTGATATCACTTTTTACATACAGTTATGGGTTGCAAGTGGGCTACTTGGACAGGTTTATAGAAATAGTTTGATAGTAGCTCAAGCCACTTAGGATCATGTTCCCCCCTATAGCTGAACTTACCAAGCTTCTCTGAGTGGAAATGTCTGTTGAGTCAGTTAATAAATATGTTAAGCCTTACAGTTTTTTCTTTCGAAAATTATTATCGCACTGACTCTTCAATTTTTTTTTTTTTTTTTTTTTTTTTTTTTTTTTTTTGATAAGGTAATGAAAATTTCATTAAAAATGTACCAAGAAGGTACAAAAAGCATACAAAACTTCAGTACTGCTTAAAACTATTACTACAATCTCAAAACTTCTATAAAATCCATGTACTGATCTAAGTCTTCTGCCAAACTTCCTCTACCCCAATAATATAGGTTATGAAGACAACTATTTTTAACACTAGCTACATGATTCTGCTTATTTTCAAAACATCTCTTATTTCTTTCCAACCAGATGGTCCAAAAGATGCAAAAAGAGGTATGTTCCTCCAGATTTGCTTTAGATTTTCCTGACTCTTTGATTCTGCCAACAAACCAATAGATCTTTCACCTTCTTTGGCATCACCCATTGCACACCAGTCAGAGCGAGAAATAGATCTCATCCCATATTTGGCTTGTATAACTGCAATGCAAAAAAAGATGTTCTGCAGATTCCTGGGATTTTTCACACAAAAAGCATCTACTGCACAAAGGAGTTCCCCTTCTCTGCAACATATCTTGAGTTAAACTTAAACATGCATTTCTAGCTACGGTCCAGCCAAAACGAGCTACTTTAGGAGGTGCTTGTGATTTCCAAAACATCTTCCATGGCCAAGTCAAATCCCAGTGGTCTATTTGTTTTTGCAAAAGAGTATAACAGCTCTTTACTGAGAATTTGCCTTCTTTCCCAGCTGCCCAAATTTGAGAATCCAACGTACTAGCATCAAGGATTAAAGATTCCAGCCAATGTAAAAGTTGACCAAATTTCATCAAACTCCCAATCTTAAAGTTTCTCCTAAAATTTAATCTCCATTCTTCCTGTGAGAATGCACGGGAGAAAATATTATTAATTGATATTTTATGTTACAATGAGCCCTACTTATATGTATACATAACACATAACCTACTCCTATTACATAAGGGACTAGGACTAATTACATATATTCACATAACTATTCTAACACTCCCCTCAAGCTGGTGCATATGTATATCATATGTACTGAGCTTGTTACATATGTAGTTAATACGAGGACCAATGAGGGACTTGGTGAAAATATATGCAAGCTGATCATTCGACTTCGCAAGGTCACCATGAAGAAAAGCATTCTTAATGTCCAACTGATTTAGAGGCCAATGGTGAACAACAGCCATGGATAGAAAAAGGCGGATGGATGCTATTTTAGCCACGAGAGAGAAAGTATCACTGTAATTGTGTCCAAATATCTGAGTATACCCTTTGGCAACAAGACGAGCCTTAAGTCGATCAACCTGGCCATCTGGACCAACTTTGACTGTATACATTCAACGACAACCAACAGTCGATTTACCCGAAGGAAGAGGAACAAGCTCCCAAATACCACTCGTATGTAAAACAAACATCTCGTCAATCATAGCCTGTCGCCACCCGAGATAAGACAATGCTTCACCTGTAGATTTAGGGATGGAAACAGAGGACAAAGATGATACAAATGCACAATGGGATAATGACAGACGATGGTAACTTAAACTGACATAATGGGGATTAGGATTAAGTGTGGACCGTATACCTTTTCCTAGTGCAATCGGTTGACTAAGAGGAGACAAGTCTGCAGTATTAGCAGGGTCAGGTGCAGGAGTGAATAAGCTGGGCCTGACGCTGGGTGCGGACGACGATGATAAGTCAGGAGTAGTGAAGTTGTAGAAGGTTGAACTGGCCTAGGTGGTGGCACTGGAGCTATAGTTGGTGGAATTGGACTAGGTGGTGGCACTGGAGCTATAGGTGGTAGAGCTGCAACTAGAGCTGTAGGTGGTGGAGCTGCAACTGGAGCTATGGAGGAAGATGAATGGGAGATAGTGACTGAATCTCCAAAAGACAGAACTGGTAGCACCTCAGACATATCTAAGTGATTACATGGACTTGTGAAGTATGATTGGGTTTCAAAGAAGGTAACATCAGCAGACATAAGATACCGCGGGAGGTCAGGAGAATAGTATCGATATCCCTTTTGCGTTCTTGAGTAATCCAGAAATACGCACTTAAGAGCACGAAGAGCCAACTTATCTTTTCCTGGAGTAAGGTTATGAACAAAACACGTACTCCCAAAGACACGGGGTGGAAGAGAGAACAAAGGTAAGTGGGGAAACATGACAGAGAATGGAACTTGATTCTAGATAACTGAAGATGACATACTATTAATAAGATAGCAAGATGTAAGAATTGCATCCCCCAAAACACGCAGCGGAACATGAGATTGTATGAGTAGTGTACGAGCAGTTTCAATAAGATGTCTATTCTTTCTTTCAGCTACCCCATTTTGTTGGGATGTGTACGGACAAGATGTTTGATGAATAATCCCGTGGGAGTTCATAAACTGCTGAAATGGGGAAGACAAATACTCTAGGGCATTAGTGTGGATAGAAAACCCAAATTAATTTTGAATTTCAGCGTGGAAGGTCTGGAAAATAGAAAATGACTCAGATCGATTTTTCATCAAAAATATCCAAGTGCACCTGGAATAATCATCAATGAAACTGACAAAGTAGCGGAATCTCAAGGTAGAACTGACCAGACTAGGACCCCAAACATCTGAATGGACTAAAGTAAAAGGTGATTCTGCTCGATTATCAAGACGCCGCGGGAAATGGGAGTGGGTATGCTTACCGAGCTGACATAACTCACACTCTAGAGCGGACAAGTGAGATAAGCCAGGTACCAGTTTCTGAAGTTTTGACAAACTGGAATGTCCCAACCGTTTATGTAATAAATCTGGTGAATCAGTAACGGGACAAGTTGTTGAAGGAAGACAAGATGTGAGTCCATGTGATTTTGCAAGGATAAGGTAATAAAGTCCATCTGATTCACGTCGGGTACCAATGATCCGCCCCGTACTGCGTTCCTGTATAAAAACAAGGTCATCAAGAAATAAAACAGCAGATTTAAGTGATTTGACTAAGCGACTAACGGCTATGAGATTAAAAGGACTACCGGGAACATAAAGAACTGAGTCTAAAGGTAAGGATGGAAGTGGACTTGCTTGACCTATTCCAGTTGCCATGGTTTTGAGACCCATTGGCTATTGTGACTGTTGGAAGGGATTGAAAATATGAAATACTAGTGAAAAGAGATTTTCTACCAGAAATATGATCAAATACATCTGAATCAATGACCCAAGACTCAGAGGTTGAAGATTGGGAAACACAAGTCACGCTACTATCTGTTTGAACAACAGAGGCTATTCCTGAAGATGTCTGCTTACATGCTTTGTACTGAAGGAACTCAATATAATCCGGTAAAGAAACCATCTGGATTAGATTCAATGCATTGGATCCAAGTGATTATGAGTCTAAGGCTTCTGATACGAATACCATTATAATGATGTGCCGGAAAAATATGATGGTCGGATTTTGATTTAAACTTGAATAAAAAAAGACTCGGAATAACCTCCTAAGTAATCTGTCCAAAAGAAGTTTCGTCGGAAAAATCACTGTAGCCTCCGGAAAGTCAGTGTAGTTGCCGGAAAATCTCAAAGTGATCGGAACAAAAAGAAAAAGGCATGGGTAGACTCGGAATTACTAGGCGATCTGACCGTTCAACTGGAACTTTTTCAAAATCTGGCCGGAACAGGGCTCACGTGCCGGCGCGTGGGTCAGATCTTGCTGGAAAATTTCTTCCTTTCCGGTGCGTGAGGGCGTGTGGACGTGTGTTTTCCGGTGGGGTTGACTGGGGTTTGGTCGCCGGAGCCTGAGGAGTCTTGTGGTGGTGTTGGTTTTTGGACAACACCAACAGAAAGTGATTTGCTTACGGACAATCTTCTAAGTCGTCGGAAAATTGCACGGCAACGAGGTCTTTCTTCCCGGAAGTCGCTGGAATGATGCACGATAGGTTTCTCACTAAAGCTCTGATACCATGTGAGAATGCACGGGAGAAAATATTATTAATTGATATTCTATGTTACAAATGAGCCCTATTTATATGTATACATAACACATAACCTACTCCTATTACATAACGGACTAGGACTAATTATATATATTCGCATAATTATTCTAACACTTCCCCTGTATGACACTCTGCTACCGTGCCCTGTGTAATCTTGGTTAAACTATATATTGTAGGAAATTTGTTTATCAGTTTATCATCTCCTAGCCAGACATCTGTCCAGAACCCGATTCTGCTTCCATTTCCCAGCTTTAATGAGATGAATTTCTGAAATTATAAATAAGATGATTCCATGTGGACTTGTGATCACCATCCTTTGTTGAATTATTAATTTTGAGATAGCTCCTCATATCATTGAACTATTATGAAAATAAACATTTTGTTGATCTGGTTGCAAGGTACAGAGTGTGCAGGGGCTGCATGCAAATGAGCTCTACTTCACTACAATTTTGAGTATTGAAACTCAGAGATGTGGATAATGTGATGACTAAATGCTAGAAATGAAGTGTTATGTGAGGGGAGGAAGTCCCAAACCAACTAAGGAAAGATAATAGTTAAAAAAAATTTATTAAAAAGTTGTACTTCACAAAAATAGTAAGGGATAAATTACAATAACTGACCCATGAGCTTTATCTTTCGGCGTAACTTTTTCTTATGAGCCTTCTCTGTATACATGAAGAATCAATTAACAGTTGAGTTATCGAAGGAATTAAGCAATTTGGACAGGTTGAAATTGAGTTCTAAAGTTGCAAAAAAGGGTAGTGAAATCAAAAATCAAATAGGTAAAACAGACATAATAAAAGGATTGACCCTTTTTGTATTCGTTCTACATCCATCATCAGCTGTATCAAGAACAAATTCTGAGCTGTTGGGAGCTTGAAGCCGCGTTTACCCATCTAACTAACTGTTATTTGCCAATTCTGACCTATTTTACTCTGCACTCAGATTTGGACCTCCGTGTATTCTTTCTGCTATGCTTAATTGAATAAACTGGCATGGTCCTGAAATCAATTTAAATCAAAGTGGGAGGGTCCCAAAATAGTTTCATCCGCTGAATCATCAAAAAGTAAAAACAAAACAATTAGTTGCTTATAAGCAATGCCACTATATGCCATAGCTTGGCCAAGTCACGACAAGTTCGGCTCCTGCCTATCAAATATAACTCATGAGCACATAAATTATGTTGTCTTCTATAAAGGGTAACGTTTGAGCTCTTTTAATGTATACGTTAACATTAACTTCGGAGTCTTTTCTGTTTCATTTGTGATATCCTCCATCTGCAATAATAGTCTGGGATTCAGATTCTAATGTACTTTGCTCTTAGGATAGTACTGCGAAAAGATTGATGTTGAACATGGTAGGGGTACTATGTGAAAACTCATGTGGGTCTATCTGACAACAAAAAAATCCTTTCTAGGGCGAACAATGGTGATTAATGTGGAATACAACCAGCTCGATCCGTTGCTTAGAGCTTCTGGATATCCTGATGGTGATGTCAATTCTGAAACAGGCTATTCACCTTTTCCTGGAAATATAAATCAGGTATGTCTTGTAGTCTATATGCTGAAGTGTCTTTTTCTTTTCTTTCTTGCCAATTTTTCCCCGTAGTGACTCAAGTTATTTGCCATATTATTTTACATATAAATTATTTTACCACTTTGTATAATAACCCGGATATTCCTGAAGTTCTTGGTAATTTTGGCCCATAATGCATGGATCCCCAATGGTTACAACTATCATGGAAACTTCCGTTCTTTGATGTTTTTGGGTAATAAAACTCCATAATCACCTATACGCGGGGACCAATTCGCTTTGCAACGTTGGCGGACTTGATTTTAACGTGCGAACTGATTTCTGTAAAGTAACTAAGGATAACATGCTAATATGTTACTAGATTATATGAATGCAAATTTTAAAAAGAAAATTTCATTTTCCTTAAAGGATATGTAAGGAAACACCGGTTAAATTATAGATGTCAATGCAATTAAGGAAGATCACTGTCTTCGTTAACTGTGAGGATCTCATAAGAAACAGAGAGGTGAAGTGCCCCTTCTTTATGACAGTAGTTTATAATTTTTCGAGCATGTAATCAGTGGGAATAGTCATGCAAATTATGCTGTAGCGGCCAAGTTCCTCTGTAGGATAGCTTTCCTTTTTTTGGTTACTTTCGAATAGAAAGTAATTGCTTACCTATGGCTGTCTTCATTTGCAATGCAGCTGATCTTTGAAATTGGCCCTTACATTGAAGAGCTCACTAAAACAGGAGGTGCAATAAAGGAGTTTGTTAACCCTAAGTAAACATCTACTCTTATATCTCTATATAAGACTTGTATGTTCAATGTCGTGGTGTCATGTTGCTTGATATTCCTTGGAAAACATATGTTGGTTATCTTTTTATTGTTGTTTTGCTGTAAGTCCAGGAAATTTTTCCACGACAAAAATTTGTAGAGAAATGAACCACTGAATTTAATATGTTGCTAGGAATGAGAAAAGCAAAATGCAAATGACCTGAACTTGATTCTCATAAAGTAGAAATACGGATCAGCTCAGATGCTTTATGTCCAATATGTTTGCTCGCTTTTAAGAAATTACAATATACAGAAGATAGGAGTTTATGCTGATCTAATCACCTGAGTTATATTCCAGGGCTTTCATTTTGCTTAGATGAACACTGGTATTGCAGTTTGTTCACGAGGGATGGGATATCCTGCACACACCCTTCCCGTATCCCATTTGCTGGGAAGGTTGATATTTGTAGTTTTGGCAAGACTGGAACATTAACATCCAACGACATGTAGTTCTCACTTCTCAGAGGTTGGTGGGTTGACTGACAGTGAGGACTTAGAAAGAGAAATGATTCCAACTCGTACTCTGGAAATTTTTGCATTTTGCCATTCTCTGGTTATTCGGGACAATCTGGCGATGATCCTAAGGGTGCGGTTAAAGGGATTAATTAGGCATGTAAATCAATTTTAAAAAATGCCAAAAGTGGAGATGATGCACCCAAGGGTGTAGCTTAATGGTCAATGAAGTAGGTGCGAACCTTGTAGACCAGGTCTCAAATCCCAGAGTGAAGAGTGAATTAACAGTAGGTGATTTCTTTCAATCTGTCTAAGCCTTGATGGTAGAGTTATCCGGCTTTGTTGGTGGGAGGTAGCAGGTATCCGATGGAATGGTAGAGGTGCACACAAGCTAGCTTGGACACTACCTCTGTCAAAAAAGAAAAAAAGGTGGAGGTGATGCTGTTCGGACTGTGCGCTTAAAGGATTGATTAGAAGCTCGTACATTATAATTCATTTGCTTATTTGTTGTCATTTTATATTTGTTTCTTCTAAGCTCAACATTTTAGGGCACATGTGTTGTTAAAATCCTCTCTCGTGATTTTAGTTGCTGCTTTACCTCTTTTTGACTAATTTATGGCATCTCTTGCTGTAGGTACAAAGATGCTACCAAAACTGCTTTCAAGTCCTCAACTCGACTTGAATGCATGATGCAAGATTATCCTAAAACGCTGCCTCCATCAGCTAGGGTTGGATTCACTGTAAGTTCATACTGCTTTTGGCTTCTGATTCTGTTACTTATGTTGTGAGTCATCTACGGTCAAGTTATCTAAGTGTGGAGATCACAATGCTTCTTACAATGACTCAGGTAATGGATGCTTGGCTTGCTTATGCACCTGTGAAAAACAACCCAGAAGATGCTGCCAAGGTATTATGAGCGGTTATTGAAATAATTTTACCTATCATATGAGCAGAAATAATTTCAGTAAATTGGCAAAATTTCTTTAAATTGGGACTGGCATAACATTTAGATCCTCATGACAAAAGCCATCTTCCCTACTTCTAGTTCTTGCTTCTCATCGAAAGCTCTGATGATCTAGTGCCGGCTATGGATAACAAATGTATTTGAGCTCGTTTGGCTTAGCTGATTTAGAGTAGCTGATAAGCATTAGGCGCTGAAAAGCACTTTTAAGTGCTGAAACTGATTTAAAAATAAGCAGTTACGTGTTTGGATAAAAGTGCTGAAATTAATAATAAGCAACTGAAGAACTGGGTATACGAAGAGTTTTGTTTTAAAAATAAATATTTTGGTCAAACCTAAAGTGCTTATAAGCTGAAATTTGCTAAGTTGGGGGAGACCAATTTATGACTTTTGGCTTATAAGCACTTAACTTATAAGCACTTTTAATTTTGCCAAACGCGTAGATAAGCCAAAAAGTGCTTATAAGCTTTGACCAGCTTATAAGCTTAGCCAAACACCCTCTTTGTCTCTGCTGGTTGGGTGTGGACCCTCCCTGAGCTCCATTCTGAAAATTTTCAGTACAGAGGCCATAGGACTGAAGAATTGATGCTTCTGGCTTTTTCTTTCTTTGAATTCGATGTTCAATTTTGTATCAAATAGTTACCAGAAAATTTTCCAATTTGGAATGTTATCAAGTGTTTTCTCAAATGATTTCTGCTTCAAGCTCTTTTACTGAGTTATTTAGATCTTATGCGTACTCGTCAGATACTGTAATTTGGTTGTGTAGGTATTTCGTAGCACAACCCAAGCATGTTTCTGGAGGCAGCATTTCCCTGTGGGATCCGAGATAACATTGTTGAATCTCTTTCTTGCATATGCAATCATAAGCTTATAATTAATTGGCATGCTTTGCTAAAATTTACCCTCAAACTGAAAAATGCAGTGGCATATTCCTTCTACTTTACTTTTTCCTTTGTCGTTCATAGCAACTATCCTAAGCCCTCTTTCACCATCTAAGAAAGTTGAAACAGCTTACTGACATTCTTAAGTTTTATGTTTTGACTTGTATTTCTTTGGCTTGGCATTTTTTGAAGTCTTTCTCAACAGTTGTTACTAACAAAAATATATCATAGGTAGTTATTGCTCTTGACATGATTTGTTGTGGTTCAATTTCTAACTATTTTTTAATTGTCTCCTTTACAATGATAGGTGCCGAAAGGAAATCCATATCACAGTGCCACTTCAGGAGAAATGGCCATATATCGCTCTCATAGCCTCATTCTAAGAAAGGTATTTCTTTCCTTCTGGGAATTCAAGTGAAAAGTTGAACTTTTCAGAGTATTTCTTTCTTGACCTATGGGTATTGATACATTATGCACCAATTGTAGTACAAACATCTACAGGATATAATATAAAGGAAAAGATTGCTGGAATCTGAAAGAGGCCTTTTAGGCTTTTACCATGTCCTTATAGTTTTTATGTAACATTTAAACCAGCGGAATGACAATAGAAAAAAGAAAGAAAAAAAAAAAGACAAAGCAGAAGTTAAAAAGAAGAGTTGCTGCTCATCACTGGTTAGAGAACAGTATATCAGAACATTTTGATTTATAGTCATGTGCTGAACGAGTGGTTAGCAAGTCCAAACATAAGGTTACAGTTACGTAAATTAACTTGGGTTATTACTGAAGATCCTTTTACTGGCCTCATAATAAAGCAATTTTTGGTCCTGCAACCTACTGTTTTCAGACGTTCACCTTTGGGCATGTTCCTTGACAAAAAGATAGGAGAAATTGTGATACTGAAACTTCTAATTGTGATAATATGAAGATAACTATCAACTCTTAAAACACTTTCCTAACTTTTCCTTTCGTAATAGCCACTGCCACAGATGAGTTCAGTTGGTAAACCTGTGTTGATCTAGTTGTGTGCATCAGTTACACTACATCTCTTTTTATTACAGGCTGGTGTCAAGATAGATGATCCGGTTATTCAAGTCTTTAACGGACAGGAGGTGGAAGTATGGTCTCGAGTTGTGTGGAAGCCGAAATGGGCGCTTACTTTCTCGGAAGTAAAAAGCAAAGTGAGTGGAAACTGCTCCATTTCACAAAGATCTACAATGGCAATCAAGGGGCGAGATATTGCCCTTGAGGATCTTTCCCTGGATGGAGCTCTCATTACTGAGGCTGTCGATGGTGCTGAGGTATGTCTCAAGTCCTCGATCAAGTTCTGATCTGGATGGCATTATAGGGGTGTATCAGAACCCCTGATAGGTCTTTTAGTTGATATATGAGTGCCTATATGCTCGTAATTCGTCCTCCCCCTGGGTTCAACTTTTGGAATGAACATATCAGTTTGATGTTTGATACACTTACTGAGAATCATTTGTACAGGTGAAAGTGGGAGGTTCTGTGCAGAACAAGGGTTGGACAATTGAAAATGTCGACTATAAGGAGACTTCAATACCAGAAGAAATAAGAATCAGGGGTTTCAGATTCAACAAGGTTGAGCAGTTGGAGAAAACATATACCGATCCCGGAAAATATTTTTTGAAGCCATAAGGTTGACACATCTGTACTCAGTGGGAAGATTTTGTGATTCAAAATTCTTTAGGAGCTCTGAGGTTAAGCTTGGTTAAACTGTGGATATTTAATGCAGATTCTGTCGCTTACGTTATGTTTCAAAGTTTTTTTATAACATTGTGACATAGGTGCTGGCTGTTATTTTGCCTCCAATCATTTGTAACTTAGTAAACTGGTGAAACATTTAGAAAACAATTCTTGATTTTTTTAGCTTGGAAACAGAATAAGGTTGATTAGTTAGTAATAAGTCCTTTTGAAAATTGTGTTGATTGCTTTTGAAGAAGTTTTCTTGCATTCAAGGTAAGATGAAAGTCCCTGGCGAATAAATGGATGCAAGGAGGGCCTTTTTTTTTTCCCCTGCTTGTAGTGTTTAATTATAGTTCCTTGAGGTGAGAGTCTATCGGAAACAACCTTTCTATCTCTATGAGTAGAGGTAAGGTTTGCGTACACACTACCCTCTCCAGACCCCATCTATGGGATCAAACTGGGTTTGTTGTTGTGTTGTTATAGTGCTTAATTATAAACTCCTGGACTATTTTATGACATGCAGATCTTGGGTTTGGAGAAGAAAAGTCTCTGGCGAATAAATGGCTGCAAGGAGGCTATACTCCTCATTCTTTCTCAAGATTTGTGATCCGGTGAGGATGGAAAGTTTAGGTCGCTGCAGTTAGGTGGTATCAGATCTTAGGATCTTGAGATTTATGAACATTTCTGGGGCATCTTGAACGTTGTCTCCGAGACATGTTGTCCTGCTATATTCCAGATTAATAAGGGAAGGGTAGACTTGTCATTACATGTATATAAGGATGGCATATTAGTAATTGATTGGAGAAAGATTAGTTACGCAGTAAGTTTGGAGAGTTCCAGTATTGCTCATTACATTGAAGATAAAAATAATATCTCTCCCTATCCCTCTCTAATTCTCTGCTATTTTCCTATTGATATAAATGTTCAGAAGCTCTTCTTCCACTTGAAGCTTCTTAGATTTATAGCCCGTTTGGCCAAGCTTCTAAAATCAACTTATTTTGAGAAGTGTTTTTCTCAAAAGTACTTTTTAAAAAAGTGCTTTTGGTGAGAAGCAGTTTGTGTTTGACTAATTAATTTGAAAAGTACTTTTGAGCAGTAATTAGTGTTTGACCAAGCTTTTGAAAATAGATTCTAAGTGTACTTTTCTCAAAAATGCTTCTCAAAAAAGTTCTTCTGGAGATAAGCTATTTTTTTCTGCTTCTCCAAACTGCTTCTCCTCAAAAGTACTTTTTTTCCTTTCAAAAGCTTGTCAAACCGGCTATTAATGTTTTGGTACTTAATCAGTAAACTGCATGACATTATCCCAACTTGTGTGGCATATTTTGGTAGGGTAAGGAGATTAAGAATGAAATCTCTGCATGAGTTATTTGAGGTTTTTAGTGAGAAATAATTAAGAAATTTGAAAAGGGTATAAGTAAACCAAATTTGGGATTAATACATGAATTTGAGTTCTCTGAGATGATTAATTTGCTATTTATGGGAAGCTATGACTTCCTTTTGTAAGCTATAAAGTGTTTTACTTTGTAGCACAATTTTCTATTAATTTCTTTGTAGTAACATAACGTTATAATTCAATAACACAAGAAATGAGAAGTGAAAAAATTGGTTATTAAGATGTCTAATCAAGTTTAAAATTATACAAAGTGGTATTAGTACTATTTTATAAGGTTTGAGTTGTGAGTGTATTTATTTTTCTTTTTAAGGAAGGAGATTTAAGTCCTTTAGAACAAACCAAATAGTATAAAAGAATATAGTTCATATTGGGCACATGAAAATTGTTTGATGAGAAGTCTATGTTAATGACATTTTCTTGACTAGTAATTCTTTGCAAATTTTCACTCCATCACTTTCTATAGGGTCGAAACCCATAAAAAAAAAAGTATACGTGCATTTACAAATTCAAGTAGAAACTTTTTATCTTAGTTACGATATATTTCCAAATGGGAAAATTTTATTTTGTGTCTCATACAACTGACGCTAGTTGTATGAGACATTTTTTTTGTCTCACAATTCTGTGGACTCAGATTTTTGAGGATCCACAAATTCATAAGACAAAAAGAAGTCTCACACAACTAATATAAAACTTGTCTCCCAAATGGAATACATTTATGAAAAAGAGAAACTTTGAAATTGATTTGCAGTATTCAGAAGTCGTATCTCACATATATAAATATAAAAGAAAAGAAAGAGAAGAAAAGCAAGAAAGAAGACAAGAAAACCCGTGCGTAAAAGCGAAAGGCTGGCACTTTGATAAGAACACTGCCCGAGAAACATAAGATTTGACAAACAACAAATACTCAGCAAAGTGTAGAACAGATAGGATGAAAGGGACGAAAGTAGCTTATGAATTGGATCCCAAAACCCAACACTGAATTCATTCACCTTTCAATTGTTTCCATCCATGTCACATCTTTTTCACAACAGGAACAAATTGAATTGAAAAAAAGATTTAGCTTGCAAGTGTTATTCTCTTTATTTTATTTGACAATATTTTTTTATTAATTCGTTCCCAAAAAAATAATATTATTTTTAATAAAAAATTTTTATAACCACATAAATATTATAGGCATAAATTTGTTTTGGCTTTTTTCTTAAACTATCGTCAAATACCCTTTTCTAACTATTATGGGTAAAATTGTCATATCCTAACTTTTTACATTAATAATAAATAAATAAAAAGAATTATTACAGAGATATCAAAATAAGGGATATATGCGATAATATCGTAAACCACAAAAGTCAGTGTGATTAATACAAATATTAATCACCCACAACATATAATATATGTAAGATCACAAGTAATAAAAAATTTCTTTTCTTTCGTGAATTTCGAGCCAAATGAACTATAGCCGAACAAATTGATTCAAAGAAATACTCCCTTTGTTCCAAAAAATTGGCATTATTTTTTTATTAGTTTTTTAAAAAAGATTGGCCCATTTCAATATTTTCGTAATAAGAAGTATTTATAGTCACACAAATGATATGACATATTTCAGATCATAAATTTCAAAAGTTTTACATTGACCTAAATGATATAGCTTATTTAAGATCACATATCTCAAAATTCTTCTATTTTATATTTGTACCAAGTCAAACTAAGACAATTTTTTTTTAAAGGGGAAGTATATTTTATCAATCTCTTGTAAAGCAGGAGGAACAAGAGGAATAAGATAACCAATTTTCGGAGAACTCACTTTCCCCAGTTCTTACTAAGCATATGTAATATTAAAGTCATCAACAATTTTACAAAATCTGCATTGAATTTTTCTGTCTTTTTAAAAAAGAGAAGATTTCTTCTCAATGGCTAAGATGCTTAACTTAATACAAGAAGAAAGGAAGGAATATACTTAAGAAATTAAACCACTCTAAGAATTAATGTCCCAGAGCTGTACATATATATCTTAATTCATTAGAGTATCTCTTCTTGATTATGCTCTACTTTGATGCAAAAGTTGGTGCACATCTCAGCTTCCCGAGTACAAGAGAAGAAGAATAATAGCAATTTTCCACCACATAATGCTTAAGCTGTTTTTGGGAAATGGTGGTGCTGTAGACTTCATATCACCAATCCTATATATAAAAATTACAAGAAAGAGGAAGCAAGTTAATAAAGATGCTTAAGTAATTTCATGAATGCAGAAACTTCATATAATAGTACTAGTAAATACTACCTGGGTCCAGATGTAGCATAAATACATTTCTCATGACCTACAACATAAAAAAAACAATGTAAATTTTAGAAAGGAATAACATTATGTTTTCCATGCCTTAAAAGATTCCCAAAAAACTTTCTTTTCAAACAAGTCATAAAAAGTGAAAATCTGAAAATGACATAAATTTTCTTCCTTAGTCATTGGAGTATTAACTAACCTTGGATATTCAAGGACTTGTGATAAATGGAAAATTTAGAAACTTGCCCTAAGCAACACTCACACCATGCGTTAACAGAAATAAAGTTTCACTTGTATATACTAACAATATAAAATTTTACACACTATCAGATAACTACAAACTAAGTAATCGTTCATAAAAAGTGAAACTAATAACCTAAAGAACAAAATACACGGAATCTTTCACTCTATCAATGCATATTATGTCCATCTCAAACTTGACATATTGTGCCAGTGGCACAAGAATGCAACAACGTAACTACAATTAACCACATTCTCTTGTCGAGCAACAAATCAAACATTTTTTAACAACTATATAATGATTAGATCAAAAGATAATGATCCAGGCCAAATAGATGCTTACTTGGGTTGCTTTTAGTCAACATAGCAGTTCCTCCAAAATTGCAAGCAATATCAGAATTACCATTCTGTTGATAGTAGTCATTGAAAGCAAATGAAGCATGAGATAAAAGCGTATCGGGCTCAAAGCACGGGCCACCGGCTTGGATCGGCCTGCAATCCGCCATTCCCAATCCACAAGCCCAGTCCAATGCATTCTGCAAATCAAATTGCGGAGCCCCGGCCCGTGCCACGCACCAAGTTGTCCCACCAAGGAATGTAGTGTTGCCTTCAGGAGGTGAAAGAGTTGTAACTGGAATAGTTGATTCCTCCTTCTCTTGCACCATGCCCTCTACTTCAACAACTATATATATGTTTCATATTAATGTAATAAATTATAACAACTATAGTGAATAAGAAATAACATCTTGCAGAAATGCAGGATAAGACTACATACTATAGACCCTTGTGGTCCGGCAGTTCTCCGGATCCCGGGCATAGCGGGAGCTTAATTAGTGCACCGGACTATCATTTTTTTTTTATAGTGAATAAGAAACACATAACTTTTGCCACCCCCAAGTAAAGAAGTTCATATTTTGCTTTGGGTGTTCTAACCCAAATAAAATCTTTATCTCATATCCTTAACCACTCAAATGACTTTGTTTCCAAAAAGAAAATTTTTCAATTAACTTTTTGACAAACTTGTATATATCTTATTTGACTATTTGGGATGATCTAAAAAACTGAATCACAAGTAAATAAACAAAAAGTGTTGGTGTTTCTAGTCATAAATATATCTTTCAAATAGGAGAAGTTTTCCTCTTTTTTTGATCTACATAAAGTTAATACACAATTTTCTTGTGGCAACAAGAAAATCCTTTTTCACTCTATTTTGACCTTTACTCTTATTCTTTTCTTCCTTTGTAGAGCTAGCATTGATCAAAAAATATTCCATTCATATGTACATTTACCTACCCCACTTAATAGTTCTATTCCAAGACCATTAACAATGTTCATTGACCAAGCCAAGAAATCCCGTATAAAATCAGTATGAAACTTAAGAAAAACATTGAAAAGTTTAGTATAATCAGTCACTCACCACAAATAAAGTTGGCACATTCTCCTAGACATTATGGTAAAACAACAATGAAACAGAAGAAAAAAGTCTTAACTATAACCAATAATCAAGAAAGTAGTAGAAACTAGAACTAAATCACATAGACATATAAGATAGCAAGACTTGAGGGGAAAAAAAAACATTACCCGCATAACATTTCATGAGCAAAAAACATAGAAAGATCCAAGCTTTAATTTCCATTGGTGTAAAAATGGCAAAAACAACTTCTTCTCCTACTGAAGACTGAAACTGTAGACTAACTCTTTCCTTTTGCTCTCTCTCTCTTTGTGTTTAGTTAAGTAAGAAAAGTGAAGTGTTATAATGCCATTTTTAAATGCAGAGTACCTGAAGAATCAAACCATTTCTTCGAGAGAAATTTTCTTCTTTCTATTTTATGTGTGTTTTCTTTTTCTTTTTTCCTCTTTAGTGTGCAGTAATGAACACTGATGAGGAAGCTAAGTACTTGTGCTGACAAGAGCTACTTTAAGCTAACTACTTGCCTGGTGGACTTCACATTAAATAAATTTCAACATTTTTATGTTGTGTGGGTCCCATACAAAGGTCATCAGAAGATCTTATTGGTTGTGACTTGCCATTATTTATATTTGTGGTTTAACTCGCTCAAATACTTACTGGAATATATAGCTAAGTAGGAACAAATTGTTCACCATTGATTTCTTGGAGTCCGAAACCTAAATGGTAAGTTTTTTGACTCAAAATACGTTTTTACATTTAAAAAAAAAAGTTACTTTTATGCTTAAAATGCGGTATTATACTTTAATGGAATTTTAATCATTAAAATAAAGTGCAGTATAATACTGCGTTTTACATATAGGGCAGCATTATACTGTGTTTTACATATTAATTTAAAACTCCCCCCTTTCTTCCTCACGACAGAACACTGGTTCCTCCCCCTCCATTAAAATGTTGCAACAGCGCCCCCCC